CTGGACTATTTCGATTTTGCTAGAACATCTTTCATACACCATGGACCTATTACAGGTATTGACCAAACTCGTGCAACATCCTGATTTTCATCAGATTTGTTCCTCTCAAGGATTGTCACAAAACTGCACCGTTTGTAGTACATCTCGATGTCAACTATAATCATAATATTATTTGTATCGTGCTGTTTCGGACTTGTTTCATTGCGTATTCAAAAAAGGAAGTAAAATAATGAAAAAATGAATGACCTGGCGATCTTTTGGAGATTTCAGAATATTTATCTCGGTTAATCGGAATTTTTCGAGCGGCGACCACGTTCGAATTGTGTCTCAGAAATGTTCGACATCCATGACCGATCTGTCACTCTGAAACAGTCGTTTACTGGCAACTGTTAGAAAAAACACCGCAGAAGTTATTGAATGCAACTCGTTTAGATAGATGAGAGATTTAACAGAAATTGATTGTGCTCAACGCAGAGATGATCGCTTGTTTTTTGGACGGAAATGCTGTGATATTTTGGGTTTTGTTAGACAACTGTAAACACATTTTTGCTCTCATCAATCTCACTACACATTACAGATATCTGACGTGGAAAATTATCAAATCATTCCGTTCTCAAACAATGATATCAAAATTGGCAGATTTTATGCCAAAGATGGAATGGCAAAAGTTGCTTTTCATCTGTCCATGCCGGATTCCTGGTCACCTATTAAATTGAACATCAGCGCATTGCAAACGACATTGGAGAAAGCACTGGGTCTGATTCAACATGCAAACGGAATGATCTCGGAAGAGTTTGACGTTAAAGGTTGGTAAAAAGATGCGAGTCAGGTGACTGCTCTCCCTTTAGACAATGTTTTAGGTAGTGAAGTCTAAAAAGTTCACTGTTTGCACACTGGTTAAATATCTGTTATCCGGCTATGACTATTTCAATTTTTGGTGCGAGCTGATTCTCACCTACTTCTTTTTATGACCAATCACATATGACCTTGTCTTCTATTGGGTTCGAGAACCGCACCGCATTTCGATTGGTTCGAGTGAACGGAAGAGGAGGTATTACTAAGAATTTTTCGGTTAGTCGGCAGTTATTAGATGATTTATCGGACAGCAACTGAGAGGGTATACTACCTTGTTTGTTTTCCTCTGCCGGTAAAGCAATTAACACATATCTGGATACATCTGTTCACAAACAGAACGGAGTGTTACCACCGTAAGTGATTTTCATCATTCAAATGGTACTAGTAGTAATGCACGAAGCCTTCATGAGGTTCCCTTTGTTTGTAATACGGCTGACTAGATCCACATACCGAGTTGAGTTATATATATATATATATATTTGTTAATAAAGTATTCCGTGTATACGTCAAATCAAAACAACTGTGACGAACGGTTTGATTATGCAACGAGAAGAAGATCTACTTGCCGAATACTGATTCACATCTCATGATACCAAGTCCACTAAAAATATATTTGAAAGGTATATTACTAACTCAGCTACGTGCTCTCTGTCACACACACTGCGAATATTTGGCGTATGAGGTAACCCGCTACTGTGTTGGGGTTGTCCTCATACTGATGGATATGATATCGTCATGTCAAACGTGTCACACTGAGTCTTGGATCTGCAACGATTGATTTATGTATAGTTATTGCTGCTTTCCAGGCCACGACCAAACTATGTGGCTCTCGAAAGAAAAATGATAAATTTGATTTACTACCGTTGGATGTTTCTGTGAGAATGCTGATAGATCGTGGAAGCCAGTAGAGGAACATTGCGTGCTTGATCTCCCCGTATAGTTTTGCTCTATCTATACAGTTAAATATGATGTGCGCATGGTGTTTCTAATTGTATTGCTAACTACTGAAACTTTAGAAATCAAAAGTTCCAGGCCTGAAGAGACAGAATCAGGTTGGTGAACAAATCCTTCGGCTGCACACGATTGTAATAACTTCGATCATCCTAAGCATTCGTGCGTTTTGACATCGAACGTTGTATCACGTAATGAATTGCAATCACTGGAGTACAGTGATTTCCGCTTGATTCTTAAAATAAAAAGATTATATGAGATACTGCCAATGTGTGAAAATGTCCACGGGGGGGGGGAATGATGGTTTGCCTCTAGAAATTTTACGAAAGTGTTTCAAAGTTGCAAATTACATCATGGTTACGTGTGCGTAAATGCCGTTCATGATACACTTATTTTAGTCATCTATATTGATTGAAGTTTCTGCATAGAACCATATGGATTATTACATGGTACAATGTTTTTACTACTCTTATGGGGTGCCTTCATTTTGACTGTATTGATCAATCGAGGACGATAAATGTCCCGGATGTTTAGACTCTAAACAACACTTCTATCCAGAAGTTCTCGTTTAGTTAGGATATCGTCTCATTAGGCTAACCAGAACTGTGATTACGCAATCGTGGTTTATGTTACACGTTGTAAACTGGTTTCATCACGAGCTTATCATGTCAGCGTCGATAGGGCTGGTAACCGGCAAGTACCGGACCGATGCACGCACGCACTCACGCACACGGACCCACACACAAACGCACTAGAAATCCTAGTTGCTGAATCAATAAACACATGTTGATAACGCAAAGACATATCGTTCGAAAGAGCGTAATTGAGGGAATCCACATTTCCTGGTCCACTTGCGAACCCCAGATGTTTTTTCAATCCGTGAGATGTAGCGTCTGGACATCGATCATGCAATGTGGATAAGTTGATTTATCAGTTTAAATTTGTTTGGGCAATGACTGAATGGAACACAGAATTACTTTCCAAAGGTGTGATGCATTTGATTGTCTATCTGTATTAACTTGACACCGTATTTTTCGTTCCTCTCTTTCAATTTTAAAGCTGAAGCAGGACCGAACGAATCAATAAGTAAGTTTCTTTCTTGGTTGACAGTCGGTTAGCATTCTCTGTGATTAACCGTCCTGATTTTGTGAGCAGTATCCATTTAATATTGTCAATTATGCCAATATGACTGCCACCAGTCAAGTCAGTGTGTGTATCTACATCTGGAGTCCTATTTGCGATGATTTATTTGATGAACGGAATTCTGTTTGGGAGTAGAGCAATATGTTAGTCATTGTATCCATTTTAAGCGGTTGATTACACATTTGCAACTCAAAGGTAATTTTTATTTCATGTATTCCTTAGATATGAATGATGGATTGGACAGTGATTCGGTGATAATTATATTAATCACGATATCGGTTGATTCGAGTCAGTAGACGCATGCACACACATGCACAAACTTGTTTATGCTTCTCTGATTTTGCTATTGACGGTTTAAAAATACTATTGCATACTGGTTTTTTCATCGATTACTTTAGAAATAAGCATCGATGCTTGGGTCATGAAAAGATACGAACTCGTTCTGTGGAATGGAAAATATAATCAACCGACTTCAAAAGGGTATCGTAACGCAGTCGTGAAACTGAAAAATCAGGTAACTGTTCAGTTATTAAATTTGACTCTGAGAAACAAGTAAATCTGCTGATGGAAAAGCTGGATAAATTTATTAACAATCTACCAAATTCTTTGAAACATTTTGCATGATTTGCTCATCAATTCATCATTCTAACTTTCTAAATTTTCAATTGTTTCAAGTTAAAACCTGTCCTGTTCGTTACTTGGAATCTCTTTCTGTTGTCGATTGTAATACTGCCCCTACCCAAAAGTGATCAACTTTCTGATTTTGCAACTGATACATTGTGTGATTAAACAAACCCCCTCATATTTTAGACCTATACGCTCACGCTTTCGTAAATGTGGTCCGTAGACTCTCCTGTTTAGACAGATGTCAAGCTTCTCGATTGCGTAATCATGTGTGGATAGTGTAGGCTATCCAGATGTTGCCTGAAAGATTACTGTGTAACCCTTGGATAGTGTCAGTTTTTAAACATGAATTCCGAGCATTGTGCGCGTGCTGCTGCAGACAAGCAATTGTCTGTGACAAATGCTGGTGATAGCTATAGTTAAATACACTCACCGGTTAACCCCACACGCACCGGGGCAACTTGCTACGCTTTAATACAATCACATCACAGTGAGATAATCAATAGGAATGACCATCCTGATCGTGGGGGGGATACAGTTCGTTAGGGTGTACAATAATTGGGTTTTTGATGTTGTGGATAGTATTCCACTTCACTGTGAATTAGAACGTAAATTCATATGTTTGTGTAAAAAGAAGTCCGCTTTTATTTTATTCAAAAAAGAACGGTTTTTATAAAGAACTAAACACAGTTCAGCGATGCGTGGGCAACCGAAAAATTCTGGCCAGTCAGAATTTGCTTTCTGTTTGGGGAGAGATGGACATCAGTAGCTTATTCGGTCATATGTGTGAAATATTTGCTGTCATTTATAATTGTTTTGTAAGAGGAAATCTTTTCGTTAACAGATATAAATTTCTCGTAAATTAACGAAAAAACACCCTAGAATTATTATTTCTGAGGACGCCCGGTGGGGAGTACCGTTCACGGCACACAACAATAGTGCACAATCATCCACTATAATTGAAATTGAAGATAATGCGGAAACCGGAACGCACAGAAATTTCCATCCAGTTCTTTCATTCTCATCTTAATTCGACTAACTCCTTGGTCAAGGACATAATTTTCCCACCCCACCCACAACGATACCCTAACCCTCGCTCGGGATCTTTCCCAAAACGTACTTTTGTTTGTTTATGAAGAAATCAGTGTATTTTAACTGAACGGGGTTTGAGTGGACCCGATCCCATTGGTAACGTGTAAGCCATATGTAAACTTCCAGTTTGACAAGTATTTTCTCAATACATATGTGCAATCCGACTTCGGTGATTCATTCATTTTGGCTTCATCTTACCTGCCTACAGATATCAAAACTGCAACAGTACGAGATCATTTCATTCTTGGACAACCCATTCGTTGTGGATGAATTTTATGAGAAGGATCACATGGTCAGAGTGAAATTTCATTTCTACTTGATGAAGCGGCATTGCATGGTCGAGACGGTGAATACCGCGTTGCTAAAAACTAGACTAAAGAATGTACTTCGCCTTGTCAATGCATCTGTGGGAGTACTCGTGAATAAGTTGAAAGTTAGAGGTAAATAAAATTTTCTGCCTTTCATGTAAATCGTTGCAATGCACCCCAATGAAAATCGTGCACATTACAAGACAGTTATTGTTCGCTGTGTGTGTGTACAGTTCAATTTTGGTGAGTATGATTCCAACCGATGCTTTCACCTATCCCGTTGACTATTGGTCCTGGCCTTGTGATGGAACATACTAAAACTAATTGGTAAACTCGGGGGGCACATACCACCACCACCACCACACTACAGCGTGTGTATCTTGGTCCCGCTCCTTTAGAACTGTTTCACTGTTAAATGAATATTCTGTTTTGTGTTGTTGCATAGACGGTGAATAGTTGGTTGAAGCATTAAGTTGCTTGATTATCTTCAATTTTGTTGCTCTTTCAACAAAATGTCATCTTCAGCCCCCGGTTTATGCAACAGACAACCTGTGTCTTGCACATTATTCTTACAGTTAACTTAATCCTTTCTCACGGGGACCAATGCGAATGTATAAAAATGTGATCAGTGGAATTTATTTGAAGGAAATGAATTTTTTCGCGTTTTTCCAGTGCATTCTGTTAAAATTAAATAAGTCCTTCCCCCTCGTTCTTCCAAAGTCACCAAAAACAAATTCAGATAAAATTGCCAGATTTTCAGGTGTTGTTGTTTTAACTTTGAATTGCTATCGACAGTGGGTCAGAGAGATAATCGGACGGGATGAAGAATAGTTTTATAATG